GGTGGGGTTTGGGGGGATTGGGGGGGTTGAAGGGGTCCTCCCCCTCCTTCTAACAGTGAATTTTGTGTAACCGTTTCTAGTTGGCGGAGAAGCTGAGGGAGAAGCAGGAGAGGTGAGACCTCACGGACGCCTGGGTTTTGTTCAAAGCACAGCGTGGGCTTTTTTTGCTATTTTTTCCTTTTTGTCTTCTTGTCCAGTTTCCTCCAGCTGCAGGCAGAGAAGGAGACGTTGCTCAGGGACAGTCGGTAGGTAGTTTGTGGGGGTCACAGGGGGGCCTGGGGTCCCCTGCGGATGCCTGGGACTCCCCTGGACCCCTGGGTGCCCCTGTGCACCCCAGGACGGAGGCGGAGGAGCTCCGGGCCCGTCGGGACAAGGAATTTCAGGAGCTGCAGGCCCAGAACCAGCGGCTGCGACCGCGGGTCGAGGCTGCAACACAGGTAGGGGCACACGGTGCGGGGCATCACCAGGCATTGGGGGTCCTGGGGGGGCACCTTGGGGTGCCGGTGGGGTCCTAGGGGTACCCCATGTGTTGTGGGGGTCCCATGGGATTCCCTGGAGGAACTGGGGGGGCTCCTGGAGGGCACCTCTTGGTGTTAGATGTCCTGGAGGGACACCCCGTGGTGCTGGAAGAACGCTTTATGATATGGGGGGGGGCGGAGATCCAGCCCTTTATGGCCCCATGAGGTTCTATAGGGTCTATGCAGCTCCACGGGGCAGCTGGTGGCCCCGGGGCAGCCTTGTCTGGGTCTTGGTGGCCTGGAGCAGCTCTATATGGCCCCGGGCAGCACTGCTGGACCCTATAGGGCCCTATAGAGCGTTGTATGGGGTGGCAGGCGGAGGGGGGGCTGCGGGAGCGGAGGGGGGCCCTGACCCGGGAGCTGCAGGAGGCACAAGCGCAGCGTGACGCTCTCAACACCCAACTCCAGGTAGGGCTTGGGGATCCCGGGGGAGGGCAGTTGGGCTCCCCAGGGTGCCCCTCCTGTGGTCCCCAGGGGGTTGGTTGTCCCTGGGTTGTCGCTTGGGGTCCCCGGGGTGGGTTTGGGATCCCTTGGGGGGGCCTTTGGGGTCCCCAACGTGCCCCTCACCCTATTCCAGAGGAGTTACGGGAATCCGTGGGTGGGTTTAGGGCTGCCCAGGATGCCCTTGACTCCATCTCTGGGCGGTTTTGGGGGTCTCCGGGGGGATTTGGGGTCCTAGAATTGCCCTGACCCCATCTCTGGGGGGTCTTGGGCATCCCTTGGGGCATCTTGGAGGTTCCCTGTGGGGATTCAGGGTCTCAGAGCTGCCCTGACCCCATCCCTGGGGTTTTTCAGGGTCCCCTGAATGGATTTGGGGTCCTAGAGGTGCCCTGACTGCATCCCTTGGGGGTCTTGGGGTTCTCCTGGGTGTTTTTTGGGGGTCCCCAGGGGGGAATTTGGAGTCCCAGAGGTGCCCAGACCCTGTCCTTGGGGAGGATTTTGGAATCCCCTCTTCCTGGGGGGTTTTGGTGTCCCCGAGGTGCCCCGGCTGTACCCTCGTCACCCTGGGTGGTGTGTGCCCGCAGGCGTGTGCGCGGGAGCGGGACGGGCTGCG